ACCCCAACTTGGTGAAGTGAGCGAACCTAGAACCACCTAGACACATTTCCTTTCCACTTCCTCCTATTCGCCCACCAAAAACACCTCATGCCCATCATCCTTATTTCTCCACCCTTGAAGGAACATCCAACATTGAGGTCATCACCTTGGCCTTAGAAAGGAGTCTCTCTCCCACCTTGGACGTCTCGGTCTCTCCCATGGTGGAAGGAGTCTATCATTTGGTATCATGAGCTTTGGTTATCTTCGAGGGTAACTAGTATTTAATATAGTAATGTGATAAATTAGTAAGGAAATACTTTTGAAAACTAACCAAATTGAGATAAGCAATTTAGAAGGATCTATTATGCATTCTGAGAAGTGCAATGATACCACCTAAATGATGATTCTCTGCCAATTATTTGCTAACACATTAAGTCGTCATTATATAATATGGTACATATCTTGAAAATGAAAGAATAAAAAATTTCTTACCAAAAAATGTAATTGAGTAGTACTGTTATACCAAAAAAACAATAATGACTCCATATATCTTTAGTGGATGTAGACCAAAATAAGCAAAAAATAACGCCAAGGGACCTATATAGAAAAACAAAATAACAAACAAGTACATAAGTAAATATTTAACTAAAATAAAAAAGCAAGAAAATAACAAAATAAATAAATGAATATACTTTCAGCTAGTAATCACTGGATGTGATTGAGATGATGATCCAACTCCACCATCTTCAATCCTAACCCTTGATACTACAACTCCAGCTCCTTGAGATCTAGTAGTTCCCTTTTGAAATTCTTAGGAACATGACAACAAAAAACTAAAAATTAAAAAATAATAAAATAAAAATATTATAAATGATAGTGGGAAAAGAATAAATGTTACCTATTACAATATTTTCAGAGCTTTCTAATTCTTCAACTGGATTAACCTATTTAAATTGCAACAAACAAGGTCTCAACCAATTTTGGTAGCAGATTAATGCCACAATATTTTGAGTTAGTTTTTAAAACTTCATTTTAAGTCTCAAATTAACTTTCCGATCTTTTAAATCATCATCATACACTCTCTACTTAGATTAGATATTGATTTTGCTCATGCACACAACATACACAACAAACTAAATCATTCAAAACAATTTATACACTAATCACTATTACATAACATTTTCTTTGACATTTTCTTTGACTTTGTTTTTGTGCTTCTAAGTTGTTGTTGTTTTTAGTTTCCCTTGACACACATCTTGTGATCATCAAAATTCCTTTATGCTTCAAGCTCCTCTAAGCTCAACAGTTGGCACAAGCCAAGAACAGTCGTTGGTTCAACAAAGTAATTATGTACCTACGGGTATAAGTAGTGAAGCCATGATATCTCTTCGACAACAAATGGAACATAATAACCACGATATGATAAATTTATTGTCTACACAAATGCACAACATACTCACACCCCTGTATGAGCTGATGAAAAAAATAGGAGATAAAATCAATGATAATCGGCCTTCAAGAGATACGAGTGTGAATTTGAATGGTATCGAAAATCTAACCATTAATGAAACAAATATTCCAGGGATTGTTAGACCTCAAATTCACCTCAATCAGGGGGGACCTTTGAGAAACATCGAGGAAAATTTGGATCATATAGTCGAGAGGATACTAAATCGGCACGATTTTGAAACGGGGCGAAATGAGCACCCCTACTTTGTATCTGCCTTTCCTGACTATATAACTCAATCTGAACTGCCCAGGGGGACAAAAGTCCCTAAATTCTAGAAACTCGCAGGGGAGTTAGGTGAATCTACCATAGAACATATAGCGAGATATTTAGTCGAGTTTGGAGACCTAGTGAGTAATGAATATCTGAAAATGAAATATTTTCCAAGTTCACTAACCAAACATGCTTTTACGTGGTTTACGACTTTGCCACCTAATTCGATTATTACCTAGGCACAACTGGAAAGGAGTTTCCATGAACATTTTTTTCAAGAGGAAACTAAGGTGAGCATAGTTGATCTGATGAATATAAAGAGGCAACATCATGAGACATTTGACGAATATTTGAATAGATTCAGGCAACTAAAGTCTCGATGTTAGACAAATATTCCTGAGCATGAGTTGGTAAAAATTGTAGCCACTGGATTAGATTTTTCGATTCGAAAGAAACTTGTGAATGAGAAACTGAGAGATATGGCTCAACTAGCAGAGAAAGTGAGACGAATTGAACAAATTCGAGCAGAAAAAGAAAGGTTGAGAAAATTCAATAAGTTTGTTCGAAAAAAAAAAAGTGGCATATCTAGACAACATGGACGTTAAAAATGATAATTTCGAGAGTCTAAATGAAGATATGGAAGTGAACTTAGCTGAATTACAACCTAGTCCAATTTATCAATGTCAATTATTAAAACCCGGGGAAAATAATACAGAGGCTGGTTCGAATAGGAAATATAGTTTCGATGTAATGAAAGCCGATAAGATCTTCAACATTTTATTAAAAGATAAGCAAATCACACTTCTGGAACATCATAAAATTCCTCCTTCTTCACTAACTCATTGAGTGGTGAAGCTAATGTAGAGAAGTTAGGAACAAAACGTCTATAAAAGCTTGCCAAACCATGGAAGCTCCTAATTTCACTTGCATTAGTAGGAATAGGCCATTCTTTAATAGCTTTGATTTTCTCAGGGTCTACATGAACTCCATTTTTACTCACTACAAATCCCAAGAATATAACATTATCCACACAAAAGGTACACTTGTCTACATTTTCAAAAAAGTGATTTTCTCTAAGCACAAGCAACACTTGCCTTAAGTGATCCACATGGTCACTTAGAATTTTTCTATAGATTAAAATATCATCAAAATAAACAACTACAAATTTACCAATGCAATCCCTAAGGACATGATTCATCAACCTCATGAATGTACTTGGTGCAGTAGTAAGCCCAAAAGGCATTACTAACCATTCATATAATCCAAATTTAGTTTTAAAAGCAGTTTTCCACTCATCACCTTCTTCAATACGAATTTGGTGATAACCACTCTTAAGATCTATTTTGGAAAATATGGATGAACCATGTAGTTCATCAAGCATGTCATCAAGCCTAGGAATTGGGTGCCTATATTTTATGGTGATGTTGTTGATGGCTATACAGTCACAACACATCCTCTATTTCCCATCTTTTTTTGGCACTAATAAAAAAGGCACAACAGAAGGGCTTATACTCTTTTGAACCCATCCCTTATCCAATAAGTCTTGTACTTGCTTCTCTATCTCTTTAGTTTCTTGTGGATTTGTCCTATAAGCTGGTCTATTAGGAAGACTAGCTACTGGGACAAAATCTATTTGATGTTCTATACCCCTAAAAGGTGGGAGACCATTGGGTCCCTCATTAGGGAATACATCATCAAATTCAACTAAAAGACTTTGAATATCAAGAGGTAGAGAAGTGTTTACATGACTTGTGGCAGTGCATATGAGTGTTCCTCTACAGATGAGGACATATGAAGATGGTTGAATCAAGAGAGATGTTTTTGACAAATTTTTAGTAGAATGATTTTCTCCTTGTTAAACTATCTCTAGAGCGGAAACACTAGACTTTCTAGAATCCTCTTGATTCCTAATTTTTAGGGTTTTTTTTAATCTCCCTTCTTTTTGTTTTTCAATTCCTTCTCTTGGTCACGTTTAGTCTTCATTTGTACTTGGTCCTCAGCCACTTGAGATGGTGAGAGATGATGAAGTACAAATTTTTTACCCTTATGTGTGAAGGTTAGGGGTGATCATCGGTCGGATACGATCGATTTTGGTCCAATATAATCTAAACCGATATAACCTACAAGTTACATTATTTAAACCCAAACCCGACCGTATGGTTTATCGGTTTAGATAAATTTTAATTTGAGCGGGTTTCAGTTTGGATGGGTGGTTTTTTACGGGTAAGAGTGTAATAGACTTTAAACTATTTAATTGGTTCAAATAAAGTTTTTTTGCATATCAACAGAAAAAATTAAAGATGCCCAACATCTACTAATTGAAACTCCAAACATATTATAATTATTTTTAAAATACTAAAATAAATAACATAAGAATAACTAATAAAGTCATCATTACATTCATATCATGCATCCACTGATCCACTGCAATTGTCAAGTATCAATTACTGAACTACATGCCCAATTGAATAGATTATTGGGCTAAAAACAACATTTTTTTGAATGCCCAATTGAATATATTAATAGGCCAAAAAATAACAGTTTTTGAAGGAAAATAAGACACACAATAGATCCCTCAAAAACAAAATACATAATATCTATATTTGGCTTAACATAACAATAGGAAGAAAAAGGCTAGCAATCCCAAATCATGCACAACAATGTTCAAGACATCCTTTGTACTTTGTAGAGCAAGCTTGGTGTCTCTGGAAACCTATTATAGTAACATTGTTTAAGTTAAAATGGAAAAATTGAAGTAAATTAGTCACAATTTTAAAAGATTGAAGAAATGAATTAGGTTATGGTAGAATATGGGCACTTACAGTAAAGATGTTGGTAGAAATACAACCTTCTAAGACTACCATTCATTGAAAGATAGATATGAATTCATCAATACATATCTGCACAAAAATGAACACCAATTCACTTATACATATATGCACAAAAATGAACAATTATATAATAATTATATTCTATATAGAGATAAATTATTAGGAAGTTATAATTCAGTTGTTATGTGAACAATTGTATAAATAACTTGTGGTATATATATATATATATATATATATATTATAAAATAAAAGAGAGTACAAGCAGAATAGTAAACCAATGGGACAGGGAAAGCACAAAGCTTAATAAGATCCAAGAATGCTGTAATTCATGCAAATTGGCAAGACATGTTTCCTACAAGTAAAAAGGGTAATGGTCAAGAAAAAATTCAATAAAAAAATTTAATAAATAGACAACAATATAGTAATATGATAAATTAGTAAGGAAATACTTTTGAAAACTAACCAAACTAAGATAAGCAATTTAGAAGGATCTATTATGCATTTTGAGAAGTGCAATGATACCACCCAAATGATGATTCTCTGCCAATTATTTGCTAACACATTAAGTCGTCATTATATAATATGGTACATATCTTGAAAATGAAGGAATAAAAAATTTCTTACCAAAAAATGTAATTGAGTAGTACTGTTATACCAAAAAAATAGTAATGACTCCATATATCTTTAGTGGATGCAGACCAAAATAAGCAAAAAATAACGTCAAGGGACCTATATAGAAAAAAAAATAACAAACAAGTACATAAGTAAATATTTAACTAAAATAAAAAAGCAAGAAAATAACAAAATAAATAAATGAATATACTTTCAGCTAGTAACCACTGGCTATGATTGAGATGATGATCCAACTCCACCATCTTCAATCCCAACCCTTGATGCTACAACTCCAGCTCCTTGGGATCTAGTAGTTCCCTTTTGAAATTCTTAGGAACATGACAGAAAAAAAACTAAAAATTAACAAATAATAAAATAAAAATATTATAAATGATAGTGGGAAAAGAATAAATGTTACCTATTACAATATTTTCAGAGCTTTCTAATTCTTCAACTGGATTAACCTATTTAAATTGCAACAAACAAGGTCTCAACCAATTTTGGTAGCAGATTAATGCCACAACCATTTCTGGGTTGAGGGAGCTTCTAAAGGTATCTAATACTCTTCCACCAGTACTAAATACGCTTTCAGATGCCACTGTTGACACAGGGGTGGCAAAAACATCTTTGGCCATATTTGAAAATATTGGGAGGCGAGATGAATTTTGTTTCCACCATAAAAGTAACTCAAAATTATCATCAGCATCAACATTTGCCTCAGCCAAATAAGTCTCAAGCTCATTTTTTTGATCAAGATAACTTTTTTCTTTCAAATGTGCCTTAAAGGCATATTTCCTAGCCATATGGCAAGGAATTTCAATAGATTTTTGTTTACACGGTCGGGTTTGGTTTTTTATGGGTTAAAAAACTCAAACCGTGCCCGACCAAAATTACCCATTTTAACCCATTTTTTTAACCCGTTTAAACCAAAAATACGTTTGGAGCACAACATCGCATGTGGAAAAACTCTCCATCAAGAACTAACCCACCCATGTTTTTAAACCTTTTCTTCAAGTAAGAAACAGCCACATCATTTGCAGTTGCATTATCAAGTGTGATTGTGCATATATTTCTTAGACCCTATTCCTTCAAGGCCTCCTCAATCTGTTTTCCTATGGTCTCCCCTTTATGGTTTGCCACTAAAGAGAAACTTATGATTCTCTTTTGGTATTTCCACTCATTGTCTATAAAATGGGCAGTGAGGGCTAAATAATTTAGATTTTGAATAGAGGTCCAACAATCACTAGTCAAAGCAACCCTACTACAATTAGACTTAAAGAATGCCTTCAACCGTAATTTTTCATCTAAATATAGTTGAAAGCAATCTCGAGCCACTGTATGCCTTGAAACAACAGTAAATTAGGGTTGTAATTGTTTGCACAGATATTTAAAACCTTCTCCTTCAACTACCTTAAATGGTTTTTCATCTACAATGACAAAGGTAGCTAAAGCTTTCCTACAAGCCTCAACATTGAACCTATGGCTAGCTGGTACTAAATTAGATTTTTCCCCATTCTTTCCAAGACCAAAGGTAAGCACTGTTTGACTAGGATCGTGACAAAGAGACCCAACATATTTTGGACATTTTGTAAGATGGTGGAGCTTATTAGATGTGCCATATATTTTGGGATCACATAAATACCTGTGGTTACAGTATTTACAAGCTGTTGTGGGTTCTTTAACTTCAGTTTCAGGCAATACTATAAAGTGTTCCCACACAATTGATGTCTTTCGTGGGCCATTAGCATTGGGTTTCCTCTTCTTAGATTTTGATGGAAGAGGATGACTTGGGTTAAGTCCTGCAACTTCGGTTGGAGCTGTAGTATGAGGTTGAGGGGGATTATTAGTTTCAGCAGTAGCTTGAATTAGATTATCAGTCGTAGCTGGCAGGTTCTGACAAGACTGCTTCATCACTAATTTAATGAAGAAGCCTTGGTCAATAACTTCCAACTACAACTTTTTTTTTATTAAATTGTTATAGTGAATTCTTTATTTAGTGTTAAAATTGTATGACTTTTTAATTTATGAAAAAGACTCCATGAGAAGTAGGGAATGATTAAACTTATTAGAAAATATACATATAAAAAAATAACATCTACACATAAGTAGAACTGAAATAATAGTAGAACATGCAGAACAAAGGATCATAGTCCTATCAAATGAAATAACAATTAAACATGCAAAATAAGGGAACATTATGCTATATAAGTTAAATCACAAAATAGTTAACAAGTATAACTGCACTACAGGCTAGATCATAAAATATAAAATCACTATATACAAAAAAAAATGCTAATATAATTAAATATTCTTAAAAGTTAAATTTATAAAATTCTAAAAATAATTACCTTTTCTTCTTAACTTTTTAATAGCTCGTTTATGAGACTATTTCACTGGATTAGCCCTTCCTTATCCTCTGTGCCTATGCAGGAAAGACAAAGAACATATGGTTAGCTTCAAAACTCATTATCAAAAACCAAAAATAAAAAAAAGCTCAAAAGGTTCTAATCATGTTTCATGATTCTCGCTAACTCAACTATTACCGACTTACCGTAATGTAGTGTTATTCTCAAAAGGTATGGCTCTACTCTCATGTGCAATAGATTTCAACCACCAAAAGCCGACCTAATAACATTCAAAATAAATAAACCAGAAACACGATTCAACATCAAAAGTGCAATTATTTAAAGATGCAAAGTTAGAAACAAACAATCAAACATGTTCTTGCTCAACAAAAAATACCTTTTCATTTTTTAGTGAGATACTAAGACGAGGTCATGATTTGCTACATCTTATCGGTGAAGCAATCGCATGGACTCACTGAGACATTCAAGGATAACGATTTTGTGAAACGAAGTAGAGCGAAACCCTAGAGCTCTCGGGATAGAAGGGAAGCGGTGCGGCGCTAGGGTTTCAGAACAAATGAATTAAGGTGCAGCACTAGGTTAATAAGTTACTAAATTTGGGTTGGGTCTCAATTCATTATTATTTTGGGCTCGAATTTTTCATTGGGCTTTTTTGTTTACACGGTCGGGTTTGGTTTTTTATGGGTTAAAAAACTCAAACCGTGCCCGACCAAAATTACCCATTTTAACCCATTTTTTTAACCCGTTTAAACCAAAAATACGTTTGAACCCACCCATTTTTATTCCTTTTTTTTCGGTTCTTTCGGTTACGGGTCAGTATGGGCCATGGAGGGTCCCGCTTGGGATTAACATGGATTGGTGAGCCTTTTAATAAAATTGCTCGTTTGACGAGGTCTCAGTTTGAGAATAAGTCATTCTAGCAATCCACATTTTTAAACGAATAAACGAGTCCAACCATCCTTCGCGAATGCCGAAAGCCCGTTTCGGGCCGGTGGCGAATTTTTCATTGGGCTTTTTTGTTTACACGGTCGGGTTTGGTTTTTTATGGGTTAAAAAACTCAAACCGTGCCCGACCAAAATTACCCATTTTAACCCATTTTTTTAACCCGTTTAAACCAAAAATACGTTTGAACCCACCCATTTTTATTCCTTTTTTTTCGGTTCTTTCGGTTACGGGTCAGTATGGGAATGTCAAACATGTTCTTGCTCAACAAAAAATACCTTTTCATTTTTTAGTGAGATACTAAGACGAGGTCATGATTTGCTACATCTTATCGGTGAAGCAATCGCATGGACTCACTGAGACATTCAAGGATAACGATTTTGTGAAACGAAGTAGAGCGAAACCCTAGAGCTCTCGGGATAGAAGGGAAGCGGTGCGGCGCTAGGGTTTCAGAACAAATGAATTAAGGTGCAGCACTAGGTTAATAAGTTACTAAATTTGGGTTGGGTCTCAATTCATTATTATTTTGGGCTCGAATTTTTCATTGGGCTTTTTTGTTTACACGGTCGGGTTTGGTTTTTTATGGGTTAAAAAACTCAAACCGTGCCCGACCAAAATTACCCATTTTAACCCATTTTTTTAACCCGTTTAAACCAAAAATACGTTTGAACCCACCCATTTTTATTCCTTTTTTTTCGGTTCTTTCGGTTACGGGTCAGTATGGGAATGTTGCTCACCCCTAGTGAAGGTTATCTTGTTAGTAAGGCCATCATGAGTTGTT